TCTCTGCCTCCCTCCCTCCTTGATGTTGTCAGGGCTGGGAAGAACATGCCCGAAGCTCGAAGCTCCGGAAGCTATCCTGGACTGGGAAGTGACCCTGAACTTGAGCCACTTGCTGAAGAGGTCAGAAACAAAGACAGGAGATGGGTTCTCCAGTGATCTCCCCACATATGAAGCCCTGGATGGCCCTGGATTGATAGCCTCACACTTCCTTTTTTTTTTTATTAAGATTTTATTTATTTGGGCGCCTGGGTGGCTCAGTCGGTTAAGCGGCTGCCTTCGGCTCAGGTCATGATCCTGGAGTCCCAGGATTGAGTCCCGCATCGGGCTCCCTGCTCGGCGGGGAGCCTGCTTCTCCCTCTGACCCTCCCCCCTCTCATGTGCTCTCTCTCTCTCAAATAAATAAATAAAATTCTTTAAAAAAAAAAGATTTTATTTATTTATTTGAGAGAGAGAGGGAGTGCATGAGCAGGGGGAGGGGCAGGGAGAGGGAGAGGGAGAAGCACACTCCCCGCTGAGCAGAGAGATGGACGAGGGGCTCGATCCCATGACCCCAAGATCATGACCCGAGCAGAAGGCAGACGCTTAACCGACTGAGCCACCCAGGCGCCCCACCAGGCTTCTTTTATGGGAGAGAGTTCCAGCTTCTCTCTTGCTTCTGCTGCTGCTATTTGGGGTCTCCCGCTCAGGCTGTACCGAATCCTCACCGACATGGGTGTGGTTATGATGCCCATTTTTCATTTGAGGAAGCTGAGTCCTAAAGAGGTAGAGCAACTTGAGCCCTGAAGTCTGGCAGTAGGGTTTGCATGCGTACCTCCCGAACGGCGGGTGCCCCCCAGCAGAGGGCTAAGTGCTCGGTGTGCTGGGTCAGGGCTCGCTGCAGAGTGGCGGGGCTCTGCCAGACGGGCATCGGGAGTGTCAGGGTTTTGGCAGTGGCCTGGTCTGCTGGCTGGGGGAGCTGCTCCGTGTTCCCACCACATTCGAGTCTGGGCCAGGGCCCTACAGCATTTTGGCAGGGGATCCAGACCATGGTTATTAAATTCCTCATATTCTGATCTGCCCTCAAGGAACCAGCAGACCAAGCGGAGGCAATTATTGGAGGCTTTTGCAAGAGGGGAGTCATTCCAGCCCCATGTGAAACAGGATGGGGTGGCTACAGTCCCCTGACGGGGAGTTGGCATCTCAGAGCTGCGAAGATGGTCTTGGTTAGCTTCTGAAGCAGGCCCCAAAGCTGTACGTGGTAAAGCAGTCATCCAACCCTCCCGCCTGATTCCAGAATCCACCATACCATGAGGCGCAGAGAGGAGAGATTTTGCCACATCCCACACAGCCGGCAGGAGACCAGCTGGATCTGGATCCAGGTTTCTTAATTCTTGTTCCCATTAGGTTTTCAGACTTCGGGGCCTCTAGGTTCATGAACATACGTCAGATGGTGAATGATGTCCATCTCCCTACCCTGCACTTCCCTCCCACGCACCGGGAGCTGTGGCCAAGAGACCAGCTGGAGATGAGGCAGAAATTCTGGGCCTGGTTCTTGCCCCATCAGCAACATCACCTCTATGGGTCTGACACGTGACATGGCAACACATCCCTGAGCCGGACTCGTCAGTTATGGGCCATGCCGTCCACCATAGGCCCTGCACATGGACACTATGTGGGCTCCCCCCCACCCCTGTGGGCTCCTGAGCAAGTTCCTTCCACGAGGGCTGTGTTCTTACTGATGTAACCTGCTCTCATTCATCTACTTACTAAATACGCATCGAATGTCTACTATGGGCCATGTCAGGCACAGTTTAAGGAGAGGAGAGATTATTTACATATATACACACACTTTTACATGTATGTTATACAGAAAACTTCCTGCTGGTGATTGTGCTAAAAAGAAAAATAAAGCATGTTAAAGAGATAGTGATGGTGATGAGGTTTCTTTAAGGGGGCCAGGGAAGGTCTCTTGGGTGTGTGAGCAGAGACCTAGATGAAGCAAGAAGTCATGTGCTCTGGGCAGAGGGAACGGCGGCAAGCACAAAGGCCCCGAGATGGAAATGTCATGTGAGCTTCAGGGACAGTAATAGGGGCATGTGGGTGGCTCAGTTGGAAGTGTCTTGACTCTTGATTTTGGCTCAGGTCATGATCTTGGGGTCGTGATTTCGAGCTCTGGGTTGGGCTCTGCACCCGAGGGGGTGTCTGCTTGAGATTCTCTCCCTCTCCCTCTGCCCCTCCCTCTCTCCCTCTCTCAAAAAAACCCAAACAGAATGACTGACTGACTGACTGAATGAATGAACAAAAAAAGGACAGCAATAAGGCCCAGCGGGCCAGAGGGTAGAGCCTGGGGGCGCTGGGTAGCAAGCAGGTCTAAGGAGTAAGCGTGGGGAGAGGGGGAAGGAGGAGAAGTGCCTTCTACAGGCCAAGGAGAGGGTCTGGGTAATAGTCCACGTGCAATGGAGACCGACAGATGGTCTTGCACCTTGGCCTGCTCTGTGGTGTGGGGGCTGGATTGAGGGCTAGGTCTCAAACGCCATCGACCCTCCTTTGGCTCCTCAGGATGGGACGTGGTGAGGCAAACACCTCCCAGAAACCAGGGAGGCGCTGCGACGCTTCAAGTGGAGAGGCCAGCAACAGGCAAGAGAGGGTGCTGCGCCCGCTGCGGGCTATTTGTCCGGGCGCTGCAGGCTCTGGGGCCCCGGCAGGGACGAGCGGACGCCTAGATCCCTCCCTCCCAGGACTGGATGACACATCCCCCTGCTTAGTGTGGTGTGGCCCTCAGTAGACCCCGTGTTACGGTGACCTGTTCCTCATCACCCACGCCAAACCCAACACACTGGGAGCCCCCTAGAGCCTCATTTCTGAGTCCCGTCCTAGTTAGCCCGGGTGCCTGGGACACAGGGACAAGGAAATGCCCTGAGGAGTGCCCGCCATGTCGTCTGCACGACCAACCTTTAGTCCTGACAACCACCCTATTTTATAGATGAGAAAATGAAGTCAGCGAGGCGATCTGCCTCAGCGTCCAGGGAGCCAGTGTGAAGCAGAGTCAGTCTGCATTCTTTGGACTCTGCGAGGTACCTACTACTTGCTGGATCCGTGAATGCATCTGGGTCTCAAGTACCCGTTTGCTCTTCTCCCCTCATCTGCCATTAGTAAGTAGTACGATGGTGTCGACATCTATGACCCGCACTGGGAGGACAATAAAAAAGGACAGTAGCAAGTGTCGGCAAGGACGTGGAGAAAGGAGAACCCTCGCACCCCGTTGGTGGGAAATGTAAAATGGTGCAGCGTCTTTGGAAAACAATTTGGCGGTTCCTCAACGACTGTACAGTTACCATAGGACCCAGCAATTCTGTGAGGCACGTTATGTGCCCAGGGGATCAGAGATAGAGGTCTGTGCAGAAACTCGCACCCAAATGTCCACAGCGGCGTTACTTCTAAGAGCCCCCAAGCGGAAAACAGTGTCCACTGACCGTGAACAGATACAGGGGACGCGGTGTTTCCACACAATGGAATACAATTCAACAATCAACAGGGACAAAGCGCTGACACACGCGAGGACATGGATGGGCCTTGAAAACACTGTGCAGTGACAGGAGCCAGACACCGAAGGCCACAGAGTGTGTGATTCCATTTACATGGAATGCCCAGAATAGGCAGATCCATCGACAAAAGGTAGATTAGCCGTTGCCTCGGGCTGGGAGTGCGCTTTGGGGAGGGGATAAGTGATTGCTAACGGGTGTGATTTCTTTTCTGAGGCGCTAAGAATGTTCTGGAATCGGACGGTGCGACGGTTGCACAACTCTGAACGTATAAAAAAAAACACTGACTTGTACACACTTCAAAAGGGTGAATGATCTCAGCCAAGTTATTAAAGCGAACCTGTGGGTCGTCCTTCCCCAAGCCCCAGGCTAAGCACAGAAGGATCCTTTGCAAGAAGGCTTGTCCCCAGACACCAAAGCCTGGGCTTGGAATGTGGCGTGCTCACTCTCAGACCGGCAGGAAGGCGGACTTATCTGTTCCTCGGGCACACATTCCAGCGGCCTGACTCGGCCTCCAGCAGTTTTAGGATTCCTGTGTCTACAAGGTCCGATTCCGAAAAGCCTGAGCCGTGGGCCTCCGGTCAAACACCGGCCCTTCCAGAGCGAGCAGCTTTCCCGAGGCTGTGCAGGCCCGGAAGTCCAGGCTCAGCCGCCAGCAGATGCCGGGATCATCCCACACCTGGCTCTCTGGGAAAAGGGAACTATAGGAGCCTTGGTTGAAGGCCTACTAAGTACTGGGCCCAACACGAGGTTCCTATTTAGCCTCAACCACTGCCATTTTGCTTGAGGAAAGGGATGCGCAGCGAGACTAAGTGCCCCATCCCCGGCGACAGGTGGCAGAAGTTCTTGTTCTTCCCGGTGCACCGAGCACCCAGCCGGCACCCCGCGGGACTCTGGGCCCTAGTTTTCTTACCCCTTGGTAGAGGGGTACACACCACACCTACCATGCGGGCCAGTAGCACCTGGCTTGTAGTAAGTGCTCATTGCTCATGGGACATGGAACGGCTGCTGTTGGCCAGGCCAGCCACCACGGCCCGGCTCAGTCTCTGCTCTCGGGACATGGGTGTTAGCTCCTCAGCTCAGAGCTGTTCTGTCCTGCTCCTCTCGGAGCCCACCGCCCCCCCTGGGACATCCCTGTCCCCTTCCCCCTACCGCTGTGGTTCGGAGACCTCTCTTATCTGTCTGTTGAAACTCCCGAGGGCAGAACTTGCAGAAGCAGAGCTGGGCCTGGAAGGGCCTTTGACCGCCTGGTTGCAGCCCCTGGAACCCCTGTGATGGGCCGGCCAGGCTAGGTGTGGATTCCCGTGCCCCAAGGACAGGCAGGTTCCTCCTCCTGAGGGCCTGTTCCCCGGGTGGGGCTGGAAGGCTGGTCGAAGGCCACCAGGCAGCTCACCCACCAGGACCTGGGACCTGGGACCTGTGGTGCCGCCTGGCTCCTCCCTCCCCCAAACGGGGGCCAACAAAACCACGAAGCACTCGTTTTCAAATCACATATGGCTTCTTTGACCCCATCAAATAACTTTATTCACACAAACGTCCCTTAATTTACAAAGCCTCAGTCATTCATACACATTAGGGGGATCCACAGTGTTCAAGGAACTTAAATATAATGTCTCATACCAACCCAAGTAAACCAAGTACAAAAAATATTCATATAAAGTTGTTCACACGTAGGTCCTAGATTACCAGCTTCTGTGCAAAAAAAGAAAATAAAGAAAAATAGATTAACTAGTATCTGAAGCTAACTTTGCGCCTGGGTTACTCGGTGCCTCCCTCACATCCAAGTCGTCCCCACCTGCATGTTAAATCGTGGCCTCATACTCCCCGGCTGTGATGGAGGAGGCCCCCTGGGGCACATAAAGCGTTCTTTACAACGTTCCTGAACAAACTCCCTTCCTTTTGTGTGGCCCCTCCTGGGAAAAGATGTGGCGGCCTCTGGGTAACCAGTGGGAGTGGCTTCACCTCTCGATGGTGACCTTGGAAGCTTACATTCGCCAGCCCTCCTGTCCCACCTCCTCGCTTTCCCTCTGAGGGCATCTCTCTGGACAGGAGTCCCTGACCTGCGAGCCTGGCAGGCAGGATCAGAGACGGGCCTGGCGTCCCAGAGGCCGTGCCTCGGCCCAGTGTGGGAGGACAGCCAAGGTGCCATCTCCGGGCCTTAGCCCCAGGCTTGGCTGTTGTCAGGCTGTCAGTTCCTAGGTGACTCCCGTAGCGCTGTGGTCTGGGGGCCACCAGGCAGGCCAAGGGAGGGGAAGGGAGTCAGGGGGGAGCAATAACCCAGGAGCCACTGGTGCCCCCAGATGGGTGTGTACGGGGGAGGGAGGGGCACAAGGAGGATCAGAGGGGACAGGCGCACTTGGTGGGCAGAGCCAGGAGCCCAGGCAGCATGGAGCAAGGTGAGGGCAGAGAGTTAGGGGTCCCCTTCTTAGGGGGTGGAGGCCCAACTCCTGCTGTTCCAAGTTTCCAAAAGATACTCTGAGGCTGAAACCCAGACAGCCATCCTACAAAGATCTGTCTTCTGAAAAGGTAAACTGCAACAGCATAAATAGAACATTCCTACAATGCCGGCTCTTTACCTTTTCTCAGAAAAAAGACTCAGGCAAAAATAATCTTATTGCTCCAAACACTGGTTTTCTAGGAGACAGCTGATATGTCAAGGAGCAGAGAACCTGGGAGGAAGGGAATGGTGGAGGTGGGGAATGTCCAGGGGCAAGAAGGCTGCGAAGGTGGTGGTGAGTGGTCTTAGCACCGCGGGGTCAGGGAGCAGAGGGTGTGCAGGGCGCGCGCCCCTGCGGGCTCAGCCTTCATTCGCTCTGGGACCCCCCACTGGCAGTGCCCGAAAGGAGGCCAGGCCCCATCAGGAGTCAGATCTCTGCCAGTGTTGGGCTTGTTTCTCCTCTAGCTGTAAACAGGGTATTTCTTAAGTAAACATTGAATACACTCCCTCAGAAAGGCAGCCAATCGGGGGCAAACCACGTCTGGGTGGGAGGAAAGAAGTCCCACTCTCCTGTCCCAATGCTTCTGGGATGAAAGGGGGCTAAGGCCTGCGCCTTTCGTCCCCGGTGCCCAGAAAGGGGTCAAAATGGAGCCAGTCCTGAACGGACAGACTGCAGCATCCTCCTGGCTAGAGGTAAGAGGCAGGGGGCCTGCTGGGTAGTGAGAGGCAGAGAGCATCCACCTGGTGGAAACATGGTTGTTCTGTCCTCGGCTATAGCTGCGCTTAGTGTCCCGGTGGTGGCGGGAGCCCTGGGCCTGGCTTCCCTCATGGCTCTCTGTGGGCGGGAGCGAGAGGTTAAGTGACAGACATAGGGAGAAGGATGCCACGGACTTCCAGCGGAGCCAGCAGGTCTGGTCAAGCGAGGGCAGTGGAATAAGGCACTATGATCTGTCTTGCTGAGTCCTCTCGCTGGGGGGGGGATACTGAGCTCAAGACCCAGAGGTCTCAGGCCCAGAACCTCCCCGCTGCGGGCTAACCGTTTCACAGATCCAAGGAGAAGAGAGTGACTGCTATTTCAAGGTTTGGAACTCCTAGAACTCGCACAGGCCTTACGAACGTGGTGGCGCTGAGATGAGGTGGTACAGGGCTGCCGCCAGGCCCAAACTGCAGGCGGAGAGGATGAAGAGGGGGAAGAAGAGGCAGCAGGCTGACCCACAGCGGAACAGGGGGAAGGTGGCTGAGAAGCGGATGGGAGCTACCTGGGTCCAACCGAGGCTAGTCCACTGGCTGTGGGCCGAGCCGGCGCTCACTTGGGGTTGACGTCCACCTGGCTGGCTGGGCACCCGGGGTGGACAAAGTGGGGGGGCAGGGGTGGAGGGAGCAAGAGGGAGAGACAGGCACTTGGGGCTAACGAGCTGGCCATCGTGAGCCTGGGAAGGAGGACCTGCCACCAAGCAAGGGTAGGCTGAGTCCTGCAAGATAAGTGCTAGCCCTCCCAGGCTGCCTGCCTTGCCCCAAAGGCAGAGACATCCTGTGACCTACGGGGGCTACACTGATGCCAAGAGAAATAATGAAGGGGGACCGCTGCAGCTCCGAGACCTGATCCAGATGGAGGTTAGAGACCGGGGGAGGGCCGAGGTGAAGTTGAAGCAAAGGGCCTCAGGTTAGGCCTGAGCCTTGACCAAGAACCTGAGGGCGGGGGCTGCAGCCAGGAAACGTGGGGTGAGAACCAGTCCCCTAGTTCTCACCATCCGCTGCCCCCAAGGGGAGGGGAGGGGAGGCGAGGCAGAGAAGGAGGGTGCGCTGCAGTCAGGGACACTGTGCTCCCCACCCTCCCGGGGGCGGCCCAGGGTGCACTCCGGTGGCCTGAGAAGCCGGAGAGGAGATGGGGCGGGTGGGCACGAAGGATTTCACAAGGAAGGGAGGGCACGGCTCCCACCCGCAGCCCTGCTCACCACGGCCAACCGTCGGCCCAGGAAGCAGCAGCAGCCGTGGTATTTTAGGGCCCTGAGAAAAGGCGAGAAAATGCCAGCAAACGTGTGGTGAGTTTGCAAGTTTGGGCTGGTGTCGCGTTGGTCTCTCCCAAACGCCCAGGGCCAAAGGATGGCCACTGGGGGGGGGGGGGGGGGAGGGAGGAGGAGAGCCCCCCCTTGGTCACATACCAACCTGAATGCCCTCCAACTACCTCCCCTATCGATCCTATGCTGGTTTCGAGGAAACAAGAAACAAAAGAATTTCTTTCCCTTTCCCCCAAGACCCCGTCTTGCTTGGTCGTAACGGGGGGAAGCCTTTGGAGAAGCCCCAGCAGCTTGCGGGTGAGAGGGACGACACGGGGCCAGCCACCTGCCCCTGCGCCCAGGGAGGTGGGGGGTGGGGGGGCAAACCCTCAGGGTCAGAAGCCCGAGGCGAGGGAGCTGCCCGCGTGCTGGCAGAGAGCGTGGGATGGCCACACAGAGCATGGTCTGCACAGACACTGGTGCTGAGGTCAACAGGGTCACACGGGGCGAACTTTAAGGGGGCAGGCCACACACGGGCACCTGACAGCTGTGGGAGGTCGGGGGGGGGTCTAGCCCGTCCCCTCCCTGCTCTTGGTGGGTCCATTCTTTTCCCACCAGACACGTGTACGCGGAGGGAGGGCACCTAACAGTTAAGTTCCTGGGGGTGAGGGAGACGGCGCTTGACTCTGTCGCCGGCTGGGACACCATGGGCCACGTGCAGGGCATGCCCTTCACTGCGAGGAGGTGACAGTGGCAGCCAGTTTCAGGACACCCTGTTCTTAGGGCCAGGTCACAGTCGGATCGCAGGGACTCAGGTCGTCTCTGACAACCGGGATGCGTGGCGGGCACATGTGGGAAGGAGATGATCAGGAGGCAGGAGGTGACGGGAGCTAACCTCACAGGAGTGACAGATGCCCGCCGAAGACCCGGCCATGTCCCAGGCAGAGGTTTGGCACGACAGTTGTTTTTCCTGGGCGGGGGGGGGGGGGTCTTCCTCTGGGAGGAAGACCACTAACAGAAAGGTAGGCTTGTAGAGCTGGGCTGGGCTGGTGCTCGACTGCCGGGAAGTGGGGGATATCACCTCTGTCTGCCCCCCCACACCCCGCCCAGCGCTCCGGGTTCTAAAGGGCAGAAGAGAGAATGGCCTCCCACTACTGTGAGTCCTGGAGTGGCCCAGGGTTTCCGGCAGCTGAGAGAGAACAAACCCGCAGTTGAGACTTTCTTTCTTGAGTTCTCCGGGCCAAGCCCTGTCTTCCTCTTCCAGGTCCTTCTTCACCTCTGACCATTTCTAAGGCCTGAGGGAGGCCCGCGGAGTCCGGCAGCGCCTGTGTCTGTGGGGGGAGGTGGCCCACAGGCTGCCTTCTGTCTTCATGCCCCCCAGGCTGGGACCCACCCTGGCTCTCCGCAGAGAGGCAGGCCTTCTCTGGGGAAGTGAGGTGCTCTAAGCAGAACTGAAGGATGGGTAAAACAAAGAAGACAGAGGGAAAATAAAGGAACGAAACAAAATAGCTCCCTAACCCCTTACAAAAATTAAAAACGACATTTATACATATGCTTTTGTCCATGTTGTTTCTCCACAGCATAGTTTCCTGCTCTTCTGAAGTCTTAATCGTTTAAATTAAAAAAGGAAGGAAAAAAAAAGACAAAAAATAAGATTTAAAAAAAATTAAGCGAAACTAAAAGGAGGGGGGAAAACCCAAACAAAAGCTTCACATTGCCGGAGATCCAGCTGTCGGGAGATCACCAACCGACCAAGCCACCACCTCGGTGGGCCTCTGTGGGAGACACGATGAGACTGTGGGTCCCGAGGATCAACCTGGAAGACAGAAGACAGAAGGCCGGGGATGAGCGGACGCTGGGCCGGTGGGCTCGGGGCACCTCCAGGCTCCGGATGCCCCACTCGGGGCCAGCACTCAACCCCGAGGACCTCAGGAGCTGTGACGTGCTGCGGGCCGAGAGGTTTCTGACTACCTCACAGGGAGTGAATCTAGCTTTGCTACAACCACCCTGCCGTAGACACAGCACACTATTCTCCTTTTTCACAGAGGGAAACTGAGGCACTGTTAATAAAGACACATGACTAACATCACACTGATGGAGCAGCCAACCCTGGCTGGGAACGCAGGCTTGCTGGCTGCAGCTGCCAATCCCATCATGACCCCCATCCCTGTGCTATTAGGACAAGATGTCGCAGGACCCTAGCCATCGGTCCCTCCAGACCCTGGCCCACGTCCCTCCTCGCCCTCTCTGTGCCGTACAGAAGTTTTGCGCTCACGCTCTCGGGTTTATTCTGTGTCACAGACAAGTGCGGCTCAGCCCCCTGAGAACCTGAGTTAGCCAAAGCTCTTAGGTCTCAAGAGAGGCCAGAACCCCACAGCCAGGGGCTGGGGTGACTCAGGGCCAGGGTTAAGAATGAGGTTCTGCCACTTGACCACGGGCAAATTTAAGCCCTCTGCTCCTTGGTCTCATCACTTGCACCACATCACAGGTTATTATGAGGACCAAATGAACTAATGCATCTAACCTGAGACAGCGCCTGGCCCTATTATGATTAGCTATTGCTTGGGAATTGCCTTGGTGCCAGGCCTCGGGAACAGGACCAGCCATCGGCCTTTCAGGGACCCATTTTAGTGGAGGCCTGGAACACAAGAGCCTACAGCGATCAGCCTTGAGCCAGCACCTGCCTCCAGCCCGATCAGCTGAGCAGGGCCCCATCCTAGGCAGCAATGCTCCTCCATCTGCACGGCCCAGGGACTCATCCTGGGGTTTCGGAGTGCCTGCTCTCAACCTGAATGACGGGTCTTTCATGGCATGCTTGAAATCCCTCCAAATCCACCCCCACCCCCAGGGCTTTATTCTTGTGTAAGCTCCGTGTAGCCCGAGGAGCTGTGCCCTCCCCACCATCACTTGCTGCCTGTGCAGCCTGACCACCCGGGCCTGTCATCCTCAGGTCCCAGGGAGACAGACGCCTGGCTGGTCCTCACGGGAGGCAGTGGGGTCTGGCAATATGAGACAGCCTGTCTCCTGTGAGAAATGGTGGACTCTTCTTTGAGGTCTGACTGGAGTAACGACTGTAGAGCACCTGGCCCCCAGCAGGAACTGACTGACTCCATGAGCCCACCCTGTCCTCGTCCCCAACTGGCAACGATGAATGTGTTCGATTTGGACGGGATGCAGTCCGCAGCCACTGGACCACCCAAACTGCTCGCTCCTAGCTGGGCGAGGGGGGCATGGAAGGGATGCACACCCTGCTGGAGACGTGTACCAGCGCCTTCCGGAAAACAATCTGGCCCTGTGTTTTCAGAGCCTCAGGTGTGTGCAGACCTCTAGACCCTAAGGTTCCACTTCCGGAAACCCAGCTTGACTGGTCATCTTATATATGAAAAGGACTTTATGAATACAGATGCTCGTTGAAGTATGATCTACATTACGAGGCAACAACCCACAAATCCAAAAAGAGAAGATTTAAGCAAATGATCCATCTTACTCAGTGATGTAGTACAGAGAAAATGAGAAGGCAGGTTATGGCAGAAGCACTTCCCGGGGTTAAGGAGAAATAAGCAGCCTACGATGTCCCGCGGCATATGGTATGAGCAGAACCATGTAACCAACAAAAACCTCCACGTATAGGAAATCTGTCAAGAGTACATGAAAATGTTGTACTTGTCGTGGGTGCATTTTCCCCTTCCCATGCTTATGACTGAGGACACATCACGTTGTCGTGCTTTACTTCGTAATGGGAAAACCAGCGTACTCTAAGGGACAAGAAAAGCTGGCAGCCCCAAAGAAAGGTCCCTGGAGGAGCAGTCCAAGAGACCAGACCCAGGCTCTTTTCTGGGCTCTTCCACACACAGAGTGGACAGCGGAGAATTTTCCACAAGCTGTCAGGTGAGGTTAGACTGGCAGTTTCTTCCTCCAGCGCAAGGCGAGGAAGGGGCGCCCAGTGTCTGCGTATGGGGAGTAGAGTGGGGGTGAATTATAAAGGTGCTGGAAAAGTATTTGATCTGGAAGAACATACTGGCTTTCTCAGCCTCAACCTTTTCCTCTGCTACTTCTGTTTCCCTGCCTGTGAAGTCCGCTCCATCAACAACAAAAAAATGCATTGGTGGGTTTAGTATCTCAGTTTCTGACTTGGCAAAATCAAATCACCAGAAGCACATCCTGGGATGACCCAGAAGCCACTTCAAACTCTGGCTTTACTCAGCATGTCTACAACCTTCTCCCTGTGCTTTCAAGACAAAGCAGAGCAACCAGCAGCCAGGGGGAGGGAGGGCTGGGGGTGGAAACCTCACGATCCGAGACACTCCAAGTCCTTGTGAAACAGGACAAGAAAAGCCCAGGAAACTGTAGGCTAATGTGTGATCTGCTTAGCTCATCTCCGGGACCAGTTATGACCTTTTCGACACTGCTTTCCTCCCTCCCTTGGCAGGACCCAAGCTGAGGATACCCTGCTCAAAGGGATGCCCATCAGCAGGAAGGTGGCCCACGGCAGCAGAAAAGCAGCGGTCAAGGAGGCTGAGATTCAGAAGCCAGAAGTCCCTTTTTACATAATAAACTAGCAGAACAGAGTGTGCCCGCAGAAGGTCAAACCAACAGCACAGCTCTCTGCAAGAGCTCCCAAGACACCAGTGTGTAATGACCGCTGTAATCACTGGGTCCCCTGCCAGGAAGCCAGGCTGACATTTCCCATAGGCTCCTCCACCCTCCCCCGGCTTTGGCACTGGGTCCCTCCCCTCCCGGAAGGATGCCTCAGGATGGCCTACAGGTCTGGGTCTGCTTCTCTCTTGGGGGCAGGGACAAGGAAAGTAAGAGGGCTCTCTTTCAGGGAGAGGACCTCGGCTTCGGGTTCCTCTCCCGCCTCCCATTACAGAAGGCGCACCTGCCCTGGGGGGCCAATGGTGGCAGGTGCACGGGGAGCCAGGCTCCGCAGCTATGAGCAGGAATGGCTCGGAGCCCCTGGTTCTGGGTTAGATCGACAGCAGACCCTCCCAGGCACCTGCTGGGGCGGGAAATGGTGTAAGGGCCCAGCCCAGGGGTAGGGGCTGGGAGCCTCCGACTTCATCCTAGCAGATGTCACACCCCGGCTCCCTGGCTGCCCAGTGACCAGCTTGGACCAGGGCCTGCCTCGTCGCTTTCCAGTGGAATGCGTACCTCTGACCACAGAGCCCTGTGCGGAGGGCCGAGTCAGGCCGCTGAGCGCAATGACAAGTGGTGTGTGATTAACCGCCACATTCGCCTTCCTGATCGTCTCATTTGGTGAGGCTGACCGCCCCATTTTAACAAGGGGACGGGCCCAGAGAGACGGAGCGGCTTGGCCCACACCACAGCGCTGCTGAGCACTGCCCGCAGTAGCCTCAGCGCCGCCGGCCGGGGGTGCCGCCGCCGCCTGCATCTGCCGCTGGTCCCGAGGGGGAGAGGGGCCAGTGATCTGGGAAGGCGTGTTGGCAAATCCTTCCCCTTCTTTCAGCTCTCGGACAAAGCTCCCTCAGCACGTCCGACCTTCCTTCTCTGTAATCATCATCACAGCAATCGCTCACCCAGCATCGAACGTTCCAAGGGCTTTGTAGGGAACCACCCATTAAGGCAACTTTCAGCTCTTCCCTGCTGCTTCCCCCTCACTGTGTCCCCACACAGAGCCGGCGTGTTACAGCTACGGCCTCATCTCGCCCCTCCAACCCTATGAGGTAGGCACTAGGTTGCCCAGTTCCAGAGAAGCTCAGAGAAAAGGGCTGCACGGCCAAAGGGTGGGCGAGAGAAGGGTCTGGGCCTGGGTCAGTCTCACCCCACAGCTCCTGCTTTCCGCATCGAACTGTCCTGGGAAATCCCTTCCTGGAGAGACAAGAGCTTAAGTGGAGTTTAAAACCCACTTAATCCCTTCATTTATAAACACATTCGTTCAGAAAAGGGTTCAGGGAGGGCTAGGCTTAGGTACCTCTGCACAAGGCTGGTGTCTAGAGCACATCGGAGGATGTGGAGCCATCGGGCAGGGAGTAGCCTTCTAGCAAGTTCCTCTGCCAGCTAAGCAGTTGTCTGCCTGATCAAGGAGATGGGGGAACCAGAGTGCTCCCATGAATGCCACCAGCACTTTGGAGAAGGGAAGTAGGGGAAGGGGCGGGGAGTGAGGACAAAGGGGCGGGATGGACGGGAACCCCCGTCCACCTCCTCCCGGCCCCCCAGCCTGCAGACACGGAACATCTCGGGGAAGAGAAGGCTATCCTTTACTCTCCAAGTGCGGCCCTCCTACTTCGTTGATGTCAAAATGTCATTTTGAGACGAAACTAAATGGGAATGGTTTGTGGTCCCCCGTCTCCTACTTGGCCTCCTTCTTTCAAACTGTACCATCCTTCCAAATGTGTCAGTCTGGCAGCCGCAGGGTGTGAGAATCTCCCGGGAGCCGCCACGATGCTTCAGTCGAGCATCTTCACTCAAGTGCTCTATTGGGGAAACAGCACAAGGCTGTGGTGGACAGTCCTGGTTTCAAATTCCGCCTCTGCCACTTACCGGCCGCTTATAGCAGCTGAGCCTCCTTTTCCTTGCTAGCAAGTGGGGATGCTGCTCTTTACCCTTTTAGGGGCTGCTGTGAGGATTCAAGTAAGCTGCCTACCCCATCACCTGGTACCGAGCGGGACACTCCGTACGATCGATCACATTGTTCACCGTGTTACTGGGTCACTCTGGTTCTCAGACCGAACTGTACAACGTATCTAGAGATGAGGCTTAATTCAGGAACTTTCTGTCCTTATCTGCAGTATGGACGTGTAGGGTGAAGGCGGGGCGGGGGGGAGCTCTCCCAATACGCCCTCTGGAAAGCAGCCT